TGATAATACCATCTATATGACTTAAAGGCGGACTGGTCTCCCAGTGTTTCTTAAACCCAGGATCAAAGTCAAACCTTGGATTGAACTAAACAAGCCGGTCATGTTTGTTTCTGTTAAATCGAGCTCTCAATAAAGGAATTAATGCGTCTATTGTTTCAAATGCTCTCTAAACTCAGAAAAAAAAATTGTCAGAAAAACAGAAGAAAAAAAAAAGTGAATGCAATACGCTTCCGTATAGAAGATATAAAACTATAAATTAAAGTATATACACTATGCATTGCCCAAGTAGGACATGGAGTGCAAAATATAAGCAGAAAATTAACTTAAACAAAAAAACTACTAAACTACCAAAGTGGAAATTAAATATAAAATATATTTAAAAAAAAATAAAAAATGTAACACAAATAACAAACATATAAAAAAAAATAAAAAATAAAAACAAAGGTGTATTAAAAACAAAAAGGAGGAATCTTCACTGTTTTCCATGCTGATATTTCCAGTCAGGCGGTCAGTGTGGCCACGCCCGGTCGGGGTCCTCCGAGTAGACATTGCCGCGGTGCATGCTGGCTCCTTCCTTTCCAACCCGGACTCCTCTGCAAACATGGGTACGGAGCTCAAACTTCACCCTAAAAACCCTCTAAATCCCTCTCCCGCCGCGATTTATCACACCGGGGTCGTACGTGAACGTCTTATGAACCGTCCTCGACCCGTTCGTGGCGGAAGAAACGTCCCGGTCGGTTATAAAATGAAGCTTTTTACGGTTCTTCGTGTCCGCAACGTGGAGCGGCCATAAGCGGCGTGTTAGCGCGGTTAGCTCCCGACGGCTAATTTAACTTTAAACGCTTAAAAACGGGTTATTGTTTTTATTGTAACGTCTTGTTAAGTGACGGGGCAGTTAGATGAGGGTGTGTACTGTTGTGTTTGTGTGTGAAGTGTCCGGTGGTGAGTGTTTGTGAGGGTTAGTTTAACGTTTAGCTTCGTTCACTTTGCTGCTTTTATTTTAGTATTTTTCGGGTAAAAGATGCGATTAAAGGCGCAGAAAGCGTTTATGTTGGTGTACAAAGTCACGTTTTTTTAATATTTTAACATTAAAGTAAAGTATAGTTGCTGAGATACTCCGTGTTTTTTAAGAAAAAACCTGTAATTTTGACACTTTGACTGCAGTTTGTCTCGTTTTATTACATTTTGCGGTGTTTTTTCGTCACTTTGTGTTTTTGTATTTGGTGTAATTTGATTCTGCAGATGTTCGTAGACACGTTGATGCTGTTGGTCTCAAACAGTCACTGAACCAAGCATCTGTTTCTCTTCAAAGATAAATCAGATTATTAAGAAAAACGTGGAGTTTCCTGAAGTGTTTGTGTGTAAACGCAGATGTTTGTGTTGTTTGTGAGTAAAGAGACCAATAATCTCTGCACTTCTTTAAAAGTGGTAGAAGTTATTCTCTTTAAAAGCNNTTTTTTATTCTTCTTATATTTAACTTTGCTGTTTTTTTGTGTAATTATTAAAATATCTAAATTTCTGCTGCAGAAATGAGACAGGGACACTTTAAAATATAAGCCAAGAATACTTCATATATTCTGTACATACATAATACTTTATATCTTCTATCTTCTCTTTGATTCTGTTCTTTTTAGTTTAATGTATGTTTGTGTTTTGTTTGCTACTGGATGCTTGAATCTCCCTCGGGATAAATAAAGTATCTACTTCCAGTCAGTGGTTTTTCATCGGCTGACTTTTAACTCCCGCTCGTCTTTGTCTTGCAGGAAAGTGTCGTGGTCTGCGCACAGCCAGGAAGCTCCGTAACCATCGCCGTGAGCAGAAATGGCACGATAAACAGTACAAGAAGGCCCATCTGGGCACCGCCCTGAAGGCTAACCCCTTCGGAGGAGCCTCCCACGCCAAAGGCATCGTCCTTGAGAAAGTGTGAGTTTGACCTGCTGAACAGTGAACACCCGATGTGATTGGCAGATCTCACGAAACAATTCCCGATACGAAAGCAGACAGTCAGTTTTTGTGCTGGTGACGTTCTCTGTTGGGATGTCAGCGGGAACATCTGCAGCGTTTCTAATCCTCAACTGTTGGATAGTTGAGTTGTTGAAGTGTTTAGTGTTTGATTGCAGTCTTTTAACACCTTCAGTTTTAGTCTGAACACTGTGACATTGTGATGTTTTCACCTTAAAAGCTGTCGGGGCCAAACTCTTTGAATCTTATAGATTTTCTTACTTGTTGAACTGATTTACTGCTGGCATCAAACACTGATCATGAGAACAAATAATGCAGCAGAAAAGAGAAAATAGACGATGGTCAGTGGCAGTTTTAGTGAAGATCTTTAGAGACTACACTAGAGGTATATTATACGTGTTCATATGCTCTGACGTTTCCTTCCAGGCAGCTTCAGATTGTTTCAGGTTTAGTTTTTAAGTGTTGTTTCTCGTCTGCAGTGGCGTTGAGGCTAAGCAGCCCAACTCTGCCATCAGGAAATGTGTGAGGGTTCAGCTCATCAAGAACGGCAAGAAGATCACCGCCTTCGTCCCCAACGACGGTTGCCTCAACTTCATCGAGGTAAACTCCCGTCCTGTGTATACTATGACATGTTTATGTGCATTAGAGGTTCAGGTTGGCCAGAGAAAATAAGTTCTGCCTTCTTTCACACAATGTATTTAGCAGCTTTAGTGTCTGTATAATGTCTGCAGGTCCTAAAATACAGCTAACTTAACTCTGACCTCTCTCTCCTCTCCGTTTGGATCTGCAGGAAAACGACGAGGTTCTGGTGGCAGGATTTGGACGTAAAGGTCACGCTGTGGGTGATATTCCCGGAGTTCGTTTTAAGGTGGTCAAGGTGGCCAACGTGTCCCTGCTGGCCCTCTACAAAGGCAAGAAGGAGAGACCAAGGTCATAAACAGTTGAGGCAGAAAATACAATAAACAGCTTTTCAATTACAATTTCGGTTGTTTCGTGTTCTCATTTGTCACAGTCGTTACTTTTAGTTGGACTTTAAAAGCATAATTTGTCCAAACACTTGAAGTTTCTTTATGCTCTAAGTCAGCAGATTTCAAGCATCATATCAGAGTTGTGGATTTATTCATGGTACACACACTGCTGCCCGTGTTCAGCCCAATACTCAGTGTAGCTATATATGAAAGTTGGAACAATTATTGATCCTCTGAAGTCCTGAAAGATCTTTGTTAAAACTTAAATAGGCTTCATTAGTGTAACTTGATTATTTCTCCATAAACTGTCAATACCAAGTGTACACAATAAGACTTTAGGAGTTCTGTAGAAAAAGACATGAAGCAAGTAAATTAAAGTGTTTTTAAATTCCCTAGCTTGACTCTCATTCCACAAGGCTGGCAGTTTTTCATCTAAAAGAAACAAGTAGATATACAGTGGGATAAAAGCATTGTATTCTGTTGACTACTGAACCCCCCCCACACGCACACACACGAAGCCCTCAAGGGGAGGGAAAAAAGCGATATGAGCGTACAGGGTGAATTTTTATGAATGGAGCGGAGACTCATTCCCCTGCAAAATTATTTTATTGGGTATTTACCGGTATTTGCGAAACAAAAATCACTGAAGTTAAAGTTCTGTCACAAAACTATATTGTTTTGGATCTTTGACATTTTTAAGTGTATACGAAATCCCTGGAGAACCTGCGTATCACGTGGACTACACCACTGCCATATGGGCATAAATAAAGGTGTTCAAAAGTATTCAGGATTTAAACAGACTGAACCTTTCTTGAGAAAAACAACCTAAATTGTGTAAACAAAATAATATTGAGGGCTTTATTTTTCTTCTTCTGACTATATTGGCTTCAAGGTTGAACAACAAAAGAGGGCAATTGTCTCCGGACCCCAAAAGTCTCAGGTTTATTGTTTGTCAGTTGGTTTTTGGTAATTTCATTAATTGTAAAGTCATTAGAGTATTTGAACCTCCAAAGTACAATTTGAACTAATGAACCTTGTGTCAAAATCTAGTTTTACGATAATGTATTGTGCTTTATGTCGCACATTAAAGGTCCACTGTGAAACATTGAGGAGGATCTATTGGCAGACATTGAATATAATATTCATAGGTTGGTTTTAATTGGTATCTAATTCATGTTTTCTGCAGTAGGCCCGAACAGACAAGCTCAAGAGAGGAGCTTTTAGTTCCACTTCAGTGGTTGTAATCTGCAACTTCACCACTAGATACCACTAAATCCTACACACTGGTCCTTCAGGCAAAACGTTTTGTTTATCAAATTACTACAACTACTAGTTGTTTGTCTCTTGAAGTAACAAAGCTGCTGCAACAATTAGTTGATAAATCAGTCGACTGCCAGAAAATGAACTGTTTTGATAATTGATAGATTCACTCTTTTCTCTATTTACCTACAAACTTACTTACAAACTGTAACAATAAACACTATATTAACCTATAAAATGAAGAAAATTGAAAGAAATAAATTGAACAAAGCACTCTTTTGGCTCCAGCTCCTCCGATGTCAGGATTTGATGCCTATTTGATGCCTATCCACGTTTTAGATCATCATAAACTGAATATTTTGGACTTTTGGTCAAAACATGACATTAGATATCATCACATAGGACCCGGGCAAAAAGTGATGGACAGCATTTCATAGAGTAAACAATGAATAGATTTATCTGACAAACAGTAGTTGCAGGCTTATTGCTTTGTGTTCTTGTATTTGATATAAAATTTAGGGTGGTAGGGTAAATAAACATTGCAGGGCAGTCAGCTGGGTTGTTGGCGGTCTACAGGAGCCTGACACTGAATTAACAGCTGGCTGTTGTTTATTGTGTAGTGTCACACTGTCTGCTGATTTAGATCATTACATATTCTTAGAAAGCAGAGAGTAAATATAGCAACATGTGTCAGATCCTCTGTCTCCCCCCCACACAGCCAGAGTGCTGTAGGTAAACAGCTGAAACAACTCTTTTACAGTACAGTTGATGTTGTGTGTGAGTGACACAGGTGTATTTGCAGCTGGCAGCCTTTGCTCTGTTTTAAACTCTGTGTGGAAGATGTGTTCATTGATACAACCCACACAGACATACAGCTCTGGTATCAGTCACAGGTCAGACCCTCTGCTCCTCCTGCCATCTTTTGATCTGCAGCCTCCACAGCCGACCACCCAACACTAAACTACAAGGTAAGAAAATAACTACAGTGAGAGTTATTTCCTCTGGCTGTACTGATCAGTTTATTGCCAATAATCTTTTATTGATAATATTTTAATTCCTGTACAGTATTTGTAAATTGTGACTACAGTTTGGTTAAAGTTTGGTTAAATTATTATGGTAACATAATGAGGGAAGCAAATGTTTACTGCCAGTCTGAACTCTTAGGTCACACATTTCACAACCACTGGCCTTCTTGACCTCCACAACATAATTAAAATAAATAAAAAAACAGTTGAGAAAACTCAAGGAAATCAAACTGTTTTCACAGATTTTTTAGTTTTTTCACTGAGTTTTAATTCAAACTCATACTTTTAAGTTTTGAAATACATTTTTAAAAGGTTTTTGCCAACCTATAATCTTTTGTTGAGGTAATTTAATTTGCAGCTGTCAGTAAAGGCAGAAAAAGAAGAAGAGTAAATTATATTTATTCATTATTATTTTATCTAAAATCTTAAGAGTTCGAGTTTGACTTAAAGGTGCAGTGTGTAGTGTGTCCAGCGGTGTAGTTGAAGATTGCAACTTCCTTACCACATCTTCCCCCTTCCAAGTGCGAAGGAGTGGATGTGAATGTCCCTATTTAGAGCCATTGATCGGTTTGTACATTATGAGCTACTGTAGAAAGACGGCTATTCAACATGGCTCCCTTTGTAGATAAAAACGGCTCATTATAAGGTAACGACAACAGAATGATTCTTACTTTCAGGTGATTATACACTAATGAAAACATAACTTTGAATATTATATTACAGTTCTGCCAATAGAGCAACCCTAAATGTTACACACCATTCTACATTTGATCTGGATCTGTTGCTGGTGTTGGACCCTTGGCTCCAATGAAAGAAAATCTTAATCCAACAACATAAGGGGATATTTGGGCAGGCAAAGTGAAATTATATACTGTAGCACTACTGGCAAGATATGAAGGGAGATAAAGTGCACAGAATATATGTTTCCAGAAATCAAGAAAAGTTTTGTATTTGACAGAAGAGATAGAAAGGAAACACGAGGAGAGAGAAAGATGGCTGCAGGAAAGGTCCTCATGCAAGGTTTTAGGCAGGGATGTTGCAGTTAGAAGCAAACACATCTAAAGAAGATACTTTCTAAAGTCAAGGAGCAATTTTAGACAGCTTGTTCTTCCAACTATGTGTCAACAATTTGTGTTTGGTCCTTTACTGTTTCAACAACTGCACAAAGTCAGGTCTATAAAGAAATAGTTCCCCCAGTTTGAAGATCTTGAACAAGCCCTCAACACCTTTGATAAACTGTGAGCTGAACCTGATCACCCACCATCAGTGTTGAACGTCTTGTGTCTGAAAGGAAAATAAACTCCCTGCAGTCAGTTTCCAATATCTGGTGGTAGCAGCAGATTGATGCTATCTCTTCAACAATGCTTCCCTTTTATCGAACAGGACCCTTTATGTGGACATCATGGAGTTTGAGCGAATTGGGAAGGGGGATGATGATGAAGATGATGAAGATGATGAAGATAATGCAGCTATGCAGTATGTGATTGAACAGAGTCTGCTGGAGAGCAACAGACAGAAAGAAGCCCAACAAGACTCCACAACTAAAGTTGACAGGAGGTCAGTCTAACGGACGCTCTGATGTTTGGTTTGTCAACCTGATCAACTCATTCCTTTTCTGTCCTTCATCACATGATCCTCCAGATTGTCTCTCACTAGCAGTATTTACTTCTTCTCGTTGCTTCAGTGGGGGATCTGGCTCCTAGCTGCCACCACGGTTTGATGTCTAATGATGTCAAATTTAATGAATTTACCATTTAATAGACAGTTTAGAAAAAAAGACGTATTTGGGAAAATGTCTGAAGATTTGAACATGAAACAAACAAATTTGTAACTAATTTCTTTTACTAAGATAGTTCAGTTTATAGTTTCAAATCTGTGGAGCGCCAGTGGTGACAAAAGGCATGAAAAGATTATCAGATAAACCCAAAATATAACTGAATATATCAATAAAGAATACTGTTACTTTCCCCTTTTAACTCCAATTAGATGTTAAAACAAAGGGTTAATTTGCACAAAAAACAAAGGGTTAATTTGCACAATCCGATGTCTCTGTTTTAATTTACTTTTCTAAATCATGTTTTATTTTGTGACCTTCAGGGGACATCAGTCAAACTGTTTTATTCTTTTTAAGAATGGCTTTAATCTGTTTTTGGAAATTAACTCTTAAAACTGAAAAGCTTTTTATTGTTTTTCCTTTAATCTCTGAGCCGTTTTACAGAACATTAAAGAGCTAATAGTTATATAATCTGGTTGAAGTCCTCTGTAAGTAATTAATACTTTAAACTGTCGTCTGAAAGAGACTGTGACACTTTGATCTATAAGAGACTTGAAACTGGTTTCACTGGATCCAAAATGTCGGCCTCATCTGGAAGTTTTGCACTAATATCCCTGCAGGTGAAGCTCTTGGTCAGATCAGATGACTTCCTCTTCAGTTTGACTTCAGTTTTTCTTTGTGTTTGATATGTTTAACTCAGTTAATGATCTTCTTTCCTCACAGTTCTGGGCCTGAGTCTGCAGACAGCAGCACGATCTTCACTGCTATAAGAGAAGGTGAATGTTGTGATTAAGAGAATAAAATTAAACTGTCAGGTATTTCCACTTTAAGAGATTATTGGCAAATGTTTCGTCGCAAATGTATGACTTTAGTGCTGGTTAAGTTGACTCAGTGATGGCTAGCTGTTTATTTCTTTATCTGTCGCATCAGTAGCATTAATCAGTCACTGGTTTGGGTTAAGTTTGGGCCGGAGCAGCGAGATATAGATAAATATTTTTACAGATAAATAAAATCCAGTGTTTATTACAGGATAACCAGCTTTATTATGGAGAGTGCAGCAGCAATCCGCAGTAATGAACCTGAGATCAGAGCAGCATGTTAATGTATGAAGGCCACACTAATTAAAACTGTCCTCTTTCTACAACTCAGCTGCTTGTGTACAACTCAAGATGTCAAGATATTTAAATGAATGGTAACACTGTACACTATCTGTTGTTCTCTGCCTCGATTTCTTGGTAAATAAGCTCCAAATTCTTCACACCACCAAGTGTTTCTATGTGTGCTGATAGAGGAGCGTTACCTAGATGAGAGTGTAGGTGACATAACATCGTACTTTGGGGGTGTGGAGTACAAGGCAATATCACAGATCTTTACACACAGTCAGAAATAGACAGAATTACTGCATTTAGTCTGGAAAAAACAAATAAAAACACTATAAACTGAGACCAGGATCCATTGTTAGCATAATAAAGCGACTGTATACTTTACTAACTAACCTCCAGGTAACGAGAAGCTCTTGAAGGATCTGTGTGTCCGACAGAGAGACAAGTTTTCTCAGGCAGACAGCAGAGGTTGGACTCCTCTCCACGAAGCGGCAGCTCAGACCAACCAAACCCTCCTGGAGCTCACATTCAAAGGTTTGTATTCACTTTATACTCATTAATGTAATAAAAGAGTGATGATAAAGAGGTTTAAATCAAACAGGTCAGTTCTCCAGTTTCAGGCCCAGACTCTGTGAAAAGTCGTACTCTTCAGGGTCAGACTCCTCTCTTCCTGGCAGTAGAACGAGGTCTGATAGAAAACGCCTCCTTCCTCCTCCAACATGGAGCTCTGCCGGACAGCCAGGACCAAGACGAGGACGCACCGCTGTTTGTAGGTAGGCTGACTCAACAGTTCACTGCCTCAAAGCCTGTTAAGATTATTATGAGTCCTGTGTTGATGTGAAAGCAGGATTTTACTGTTGTAGTTGGTTGAGGTGGAGCTCATTTTAAAGGTCCAGAGTGTCACATTTAGGAAGAGCGGACGAACCAAACACCAGCTAGTTTTCATTTATTTTGGTTGCAATCTGCCACTTCAACACTAGATGGCACTAAATCCTACACACTGGACCTTTAAGTTATTTGTGTAGAGCTGCAAGGAATGATTATTTTTTATTATGGATGAATCATGAATCCTTTTCTCTTCTCTTAAATGCCGTCACAATTAGCCCAAAGTGCCACCTTCATAGTGTTTGTTAGTATCACACTAACAGTCCAAACCTCAAAATTATAAGAAATAAATTAAAATAACAAAAAGTAAAAGCAGTAAATCCTCACATTTCTGAAGCCGGAGCCATGAAATGCTTTTTCATGAAAGTGACTTCACTGTTTATTATTGACAGTTGCCAATTAATTCTCCATGAAGTGACTAACTGATTAATAATTAGCTGTACTTGTAAAAACATGTCCAATTTATAACAATAAAATGTGTTTTACAAGCATTTAATATGTTTTTTATGACAATATTTTATTTGTACAATAACCAGTAACTAATGGTAATAAAATAACTTTAAATCTGCGCTTCAGTACAGTATTTGAGTTAATGTACGTGGTTATATTTCACCTATATCCCTCTGCAGCCATCCGTTCAGACCGCACTGACCTGGTTAAGCTGCTGCTCCAGTGGGGCTCCAGGGTGAACCAGTCGGGCTGCCACGGCCGGCGTCCCCTCCACGAGGCTGCACGGCTGGGCAAAGCTGCGCTGGTGAACCTGCTGCTGTTGGCACATCCCAGACCCCCTCACAGCCTCACACAGCCTCACATCCGGCTGGCACTGCCGCTCAAAAAGGGAGGACACCTGGAGGTGGTGGGAGACTCTCCTGGGGAAAGGTGAGAGCAGTTACTCTCCACTATTATACTATAGTACATATATATATATATATATAAATATATATATCAGCA